CTGGAGTACTGCGTCCAGTTCTGGGCACCACACTTTAAGAAGGATGTGGCCTGCCTTGAGAGGGTTCAGAGGAGGGTCACCCGCTTGGTTGGAGGGCAACAGGGCAGGCCCTATGAGGAGAGGCTGAGGGCCCTGAACCTGTTCAGCCTCAGCAAGCAGAGGCTGAGGGGGAATTTGGTGGCTGCCTACAAACTCATTAGGGGAGATCAGCAGCAAATAGGAAGGGTCTTATTCCCCCCAGCAGCACCTGGGGTGATGAGGAACAATGGCCAGAAGCTGCTGGGGAATATGTTCAGGTTAGAGATTAGGAGGCACTATTTCACTGTCAGGGTAGCCAGGATCTGGAATCAGCTTCCAAGGGAAGTGGTCCTCGCTCCTACCTTGGGTAAATACAAAAAGAGGTTGGATGAACACCTGTCTGGGGTTGTGTGATCCCAGAGTGTGCTCCAACCAGTGGCGGGGGGTTAGACTAGATGATCTATTCAGGTCCCTTCTGACCCCTAACTACTATGAAACTATGAAAAGGCAGGAAGGTCTTCCTCCTCCTCGATGCTGTGTGCAACTCAGTCTTAAGGTTGAAATGAAAGCATCTTACATTGACAGACTCATTCATGCTTTTTCAGGGACTTCAGCAGGGTGGACCAGGATCACCCACAGGCACCTAATATGGAGAACAGGATCTAACCCTTCAGCACTTCAGGTTAGAGACTCTCTTACTATGAATATGTACAGTGAAGAGCACAACGGGCCTTCATCCCATTTCTGGGAGTGAAGCCATACAAACAGCATTAACCCCATGTAAGCACTATGGGCAGGTCCACACCCTATGTAGGAGGCTACGCCCCAAATTCTTACATTGATCCAGACATCCGTTGTTTCTTCATAAATAATGAGTGGTGTAACAGAGTCAGGCACGGTGTCTATAAGTTTCTGTCTTTCCATAGCATCATCTTCTACCGGGATAAATAATGCAGGGGGGATCAGCACAATCTGAAGCCGTGTTTGGGAGCGGTCCAGCAAAATGGACCAGGCACTATCAAAGGAAAAACAAAGTATTAGGAAAATCCCGCATCATTACTCAGTATCAGACAGCTGAGAGAACCTGACTCGGGGAACACTGCGCGCTTTGATGGGGACAACAGTGATCAATTTTAGAGCCAGAGAAAAGATAAATTTAACTTTGGGCAGAGAAAAGCAAACATTTCCCCCAAAGTTTCAAGGCATCAGGCAGGCTCCTCAACAGAGACGGAGAAACCTGTCCTGCTTTAAATTTCATCCCCACAAAAATACGGTGGGTTCAAAAGTCTGTTTTGTTCTTATGTTCTTGGATTTGGATTGTGCTTCAGGGAGAACGTGGGAGGAGGATTTGACAACAGAAAAATCAGAAGGATCAAGGAAGCAAATGCCTTCCAACTGAAATTTAAGAACATATCTGAGGATCTCTGAGTGCTTATCAGTTGCCTAAAGAAATGATGCCGAAGCCTCAGGGCTTGCCAGTGGGCCAACACCACACTGTGAGGAGTTAGGCATGTGGCTCTGTCTACAGGGTTAAAAATAACATGTAGGTGTTACAGTGGGATTTCTGATGAGTTAGTCTGCTGCAGTGGTTAGGGTGCTAGCATAGGACTCGGGAGACATGGACTCAAGTCCCTCCTCAGTCACAGACTTCCTGTGCGACTCTGGACAAGTCACTTAACTTCTCTGGGCCTCACTTTTACAAATGGGGATAAAAGCGCTGCACTACCCCACAAGGGCACTGTGAGGACAACTGAATCCCAGGCCACGAGGTGATGGCAATGGAACCAGACAACCGGAGTGAGAATGCTGTGGTTTGGGAAAATGTCCCCTTTGCACAAACACGTTTGGAGCACTGTGATAATCACAGCAAGCATGTGCCAGAGCAAAGAGAGGGGCTGGGACTATCTGTTGCCAGTTGCATTGTCCCAAACCCACTAAGCAGAGACAGGATTAACATACGCACTATTTTCCTTCTGGAGTCCATCCCGCTCTAGCAATATACTCTACTCCTTCAAACAGGATCTCGAATGGCTGCACTAGTTCTGTATCCACAACATCCGCAATCTATTGATAACAACAGCAATCAACATCAAGAAATGGTGAAGCACGTGCCAAAGAAACAGGTCTCTGTATGCAAGTGGGCAAGGTTGTCCTCCACTGCAGCTCAAAAGGAATTGCATCTTTACCCTTGGCCTTCACAAACGTGAGGGATTCAATCCCATTACAGCCACTGAGGCTGGGCTCCGAGGCAGCTGCCAGGCTGCAAACCCCATCAGCAGCCAAGCAAAGATTGACTGGGTGTCAGGAGATACAAGGCGAATCCCTACCCTGTCACGGGCTTATGGAATGAGCCTGGGTGAATGGCTGTACCTCCACAGGTCTCATTTCCCCAGTCTGCAGTGGTGTGCACTGTGGCAGTGACCCCTGCCTGAAGTGAGGAAAAGCCCCACTTGTACACTTCATGGGTTGGGGTCGGCTGGCTTGTCTAGATTAGAGGTTGACCTCAGTGCAGGTACACTGGTATGTCCAGCAACGGGCAAAGTCCCCAGAGAAGATAGGCTTCCTAATCAGATACCACATGCTCCTGTACCCTTCTGAGTTATGGCACCTTCACATTAGCTAGAACAGCTTACACCAGCTGCCAGGAGACAGTGTGGGGGGCATAACACTCACTTCCCCACATACTGTATTTACACAGCAACTGAGTTATAGCTCAGTAAATTCTCTTCCCAGTTAAAACATCCTCAGGAAGATGTTGAACCAGTCACTAACCAGGGGGTTGGCCACGGGAATGCTGATCACTCGTGTCTAAAACATACCAGCCCTATGCTGAAACCTTTCACCCCCTATATGAGTGGAAAAGGAGAGATGCCAGTGCTATATTTGCTTGCTGCGTTCCTGACATTACACCAGGCCATGGGTGACTGGTGCTGCCTTAGTCAGGGGAGGCACATGCCCCGCCCCAGAAACCAGTCAGCGACTGGAGGGGGGGGCGGGGTGTCCCTCCCGTGGCCAATCACAAGGTGGCAGATCGCTGTGGCCACTTCTGGGAGCACCATGGTGCTCCCACTCCCTGGCCAGCGCTCGCAGGGGGGGGGGCACCAGCACTCCCGCCTGCCCCCCTTGCCTGTTGCCTAAGCAGCAAGCACGTGGCCGGTCAGGGGGTGCACGTGCACCCCCTACGCGTCGCCACTGCACCAGGCTGTTTGAAACAGTAGTCTATGGATCACCCCCATACCCCTTGTGTGCCCAGCAGGCCTTTTTGTGTCAACTGAAGATCCCAGTTTTACAAAGGAGTCACAAATGTCAAATTGATTTAGAAAACAAATGCAAATTAAAACTTACTCTTCCTTCAGCATCAATTGTTATTTCGGACACCTTGAAGGTGACCTTTGGATTCGCTGTACCTATAAAAAAAGACATCAACAATCACACAGTTTGCTTTCAGGCAGACAAACCCATATTCCAAACACCAGTAGCGATGTTTACCCCAAATTGCACAGAAAGCAAGTAACAGACTGCTCTGTCATTAATTAACCCCATCCTGCTGGGGGTACAAGGGGTAGTATTCAGGTCAGGTCAGAAGGGACTAAAACGAACAAAGGCCCTGAGGCCCAATCCTGTACACATATACTAACAGAGCAGTGCCTGGTGACAAAAGTAGCCTCTGGAGAATTAAGAGACCTATTTACAGGAGTAAGTGCCAGAGTCAATATTACCACTGACCCTGGTGTTTACTCCTACAAGTAGCCCTCTTCATTCTTAATGGTCCCACCATTTCAAAGTTCTAATGTTAGTCTTTTTCTCTTTGAGAAGGGGGGATTAAGGGTTACAGATACAGGCCAATTCACTTTGCAGCAGGAAGCATTACCTCCCAATGCTATATCCTTAAAGACATACCCTGTAGGGACTGGCCAGGTAGGACCTTTCAAAAAAAGCGGCATTCTATTAGGGATGAGCACCAAAAAATGCTATGCATCGGCCTTACAGACGCATGACAGACACCTCTGCAAAGGACGTGAGGGTTCATATCTCCCCACCTGGAACAGCAGGCAGAATTCAGGTGACTGCTCCTGCGCTAGATGATATTGTCTGGCTACAATGAAGACAGAGATCTGATCAAACCAGCCGGAGAACGTACCACAAAGCCACCAAACCCTCAGGCACCAACTTTAGGGGCTTATATGGCCCCCAATACCAGAGTATCTGAACACCTCCCAGGTTTTCACATGTATATCTTACCACGCCCCCACCATGAGGCAGGGCAGTGCTGTTTTCCCCCTCTACCCATGGGGAACTGAGGCCCTGAGGCCGAGGTCCTGTTTCTAAAGGTTTTTACCCTTTGCTCTGCTCAGTGCTACACAGCCCAAGTAAATCAGGCTGCTAAGAACTATCTTCAGGATGAAAGTCAATGGGATTTAGGCTCCTTGTGTCCAAGTCACGGCTGAAAATGGGACTGAGTGGTCTATACTGCTTCAAGCCTTGTAAATCTGAGACACCCTTCCAAGATTCCCCAACCCCCCACCCCCAATTACAAGGGCATTGCCAGCAGCTCAGTAGAAAGCTGTAAAAAATACGTGTTTTTTCACTTTGAAGCCCAGAGCTGTGAAGATAAAGAGGGTGGTGCTTCCTGAATAGTAAAGACGGAGCAGTATGCTGCCAGCAACTAAAAAACACTGGGTTAGCAGTGAGGATCCTACACCGTCAGCATGGGCTACAAAGGAGTCACTTGTGGGGGAGGGCTGAAGACAGAAGGAAAAAGGAGCAAGCAGCAAGGCCTCACCTGTTTTGGGATACCTGAAGGAATCTGTCCGCCTGGTCTCCAACAGGGGGGACGTGACATGAATGATTTCCACCTCTGACTCATCATTTTCTTCATAGAGAATCCTAAGGATTTTGCCCCCGTTGAGTGCTGCAAAGGAAGAGACACGTTTCACATCTGGAACTGCTGTAACAATCTGCTCATTGCAGGCGACGGCCCTGTTCCTTTGGATGCCTAGGGGGAGGCCGCATCATGCACTACATGCTGGAGCTCCAGCTGTTCGGAGCTAGAGGGAAATCCAGCAAGTTTGTGTACTGGCTATGAAAGCTTGGGCAGTGTCTCCTGCACAAAAATGCAAGACAGTGGCTGGGGCAAGACTGGGTTGTGGTAACAAGCCTGCCACAAAGAATATCAAACTCCACTAATGGCTTGCAACCCATTAGGCATAAGAGAGAGAGGAGCTTGTGGTACCCAATACCAGACCCATGCCATAAAATAATAAGAGTGGTAGTTAAAATTGTTAGCAGAGACCTGACACATTCATCACGTGCATCTCCAAGCTAAGGAAGCCAGAGAAAAAGGCTGAGCCAGTGTAACTAAAGAAGGCAAGGAAACTACATATACATTTCAGCTGAACTAGTAACTAACAAAGACAAAAGATTAAATATACATTTCAAGCAAAACCTGTAAAAGGTGCATTGAATACAAGGAAAATGTCCTATGCGTGGCATCCTCACATTTTTTCAAAACAGGCATCCAATGAATAAGGTGTTAAAAATGTCTCAATCATTCAATGTATGTCTGGAATTCTGTAAATAGACCATCAGCGGTATAAGCTATTGCAAATTTGCCTCATTGATAAACAAATACCCAAAGACAGGTCCAGTAACCAATGCCTCTAAACATCCTAGTTGACCACTCAAGGCCCATCACATTTAACTGACCTGTAACTTCAGGGCTACAAGAAACACAAGCCTTCAAACTGAAACAAATCGAAAAGCAGGAGCCAGGCAATATAACAATTGTAATATGATGATCACCCTTTTCCTCCCTGTTTTGTTCGGACTTTAATCAGCCAACCATCAAGGAAAAAAGCGTTGAAGTTATACAATTAAACAATATAAGCAGCAAGACAGAACTGCTAGCAAGGCATGCAGTCCAGGAAAGATCAAGAAGCCGTACTGCACCCAGACCACGAGTAAACGCTGCAAGACCGGACCAGCTTCCCTGCCTGCATTGGTGAGAAAACACTACTGCAGCTAAATATGTAGTGGGACTTTCTATAATATTTTATATTGGGAAAGCGTCTTTTTCTGTTAGTTTTGTAGCTTGTTAGTAGTTATTAAAGCAAGCATTTCTGCTATTAATCAACTGGGTGTTGCATCAATTCTTAAACCACTAGGTTTAAAATCGTGTTTTTAAGTGCAACATGTGTGCTATGTTCTGAATGATCCTGAATCTAAGGGCTCTACTACGCGTTCAAATTAAAGCCTGTTAGAAACCAGCTCTAGCATTGTTACACATTTTCAGGCACTAACTTTGTAGCTGGTTAGCTCTTTTTATATAGCCCAACGGTCACTTTTATTGTCTGATAATTACTTTGCAAGTGTGGTTGTCTAAATTTATTGCATGGTTAACCGGTTAAACGTATGATAATTACTCTACACATGTGGCCAGTCTAAATTTATTGTGCAATTAACCAGTAAATTTGCACAATACATGCAACGTGTAGCAGAAGTCTAACTGCTGTCTCCACTCTGATTAGTGTAGGTTTCTTTCCTCCAAGGTAACACACACCTAGACTGTGAACTGTAAAGCCCAGATGATGCTATCTCACAAAAACCATGGGGCATGGACACACAACATAATTACCATAGTCATCTAGCCTGAATATTATTCCAGTGTAAATTTATCCATAGTAAGGACCAGTTACATGATCTGTTCTCCCAAGCTGGCTGCCCACAGTAGGCACTACTGCAGTTCTTGGCCAGTGGGTGGATGGGCTGGAAGGGGGCCTGCTCTGTGCTGCCCTAGGATGAAGTTTAATAGGGGACTGAACATGTGTTGTACATGAGTGTACCTTATACTGGCACACCCTCCTCTTCTGAGAGGTAACTACCCCACACTAGAGAGATTTACACCAGCGTAAGGTGAGAGTCATGTGTCTGCCCTGCATATTCTACAGAAAGTCAATTTACTCCTTACTAAATGTGTCACCTGTCCATATGGAAATGATAATGTTAGCCTCTTATGATATATTTTAAGTACTTCCCTTTGGTCTTTTCTCTTATATTCTCACAGGACATTTCACTCCTTAGAGCTCACCTGCATCCTTTTCTCCGCATGAAACCCTGGTTTTGTTTGACGTATCCCCATCTATCCCAGCACAACCAACATGGGGTGCTACCTAATCGGGATATGGAACAGGAAGAGAAAACCGACTCTGTCCTACAGTGGCGGTGGCCCTGGGGCCATACCAACAGGATCCCTGCCCGTCAGCTACATGGCACTGAGCGCACTTACTTGGCTTGGTGTCCGGACACCACCAGTAGCCTGTGTATCGATCAAATTCCTCCTGCAGCACAAAGGTTGCGACTCCAGCAGATTTTGGATCCTCTTCTACGTTGGCCAGTTCTGAGGAGGCAACGGGAGAAAGCGTTAGGCTCCAAGCCTGGCTGCTGCCAAGGAACACAACCAGCTTCACATTTTCCCAACTGAGGGCCAAATTCACCCTGCAAGGAAGCAATTACCCCAGAGGTGAACCCAGCTTCAGTCGCTAACAAGATTGCAGCTGTCTCCTGCTCCCACTCAGCTCTGATCAGGCTGCTGGGTGATGGGATTTTCACAGTAACAATTTCCATTTCCCTGACAGCATCCCTTTTCACACCACTGAAATCATCCTCAGATGTACCCATCTCCCTTGCAGCCACAATCCATCCTCCCCCCTCCTGACCCTCATTCTCGCAAGCAGAGGGAATCATAACGGTTCCAAACAGCAGAAGTAGGAAAAAGGCAGCCCCCAAAGAGGAGAGAATAACTATCCCGTGTCACTTCCTCCCACAGCACACGCTCTTGTCGGGGCTGAAAGGAGGAAGATGAAATGGAAATAATAGGAGATGAGGCCAAAGCTGGACATTAGGGAACCTGCAGCACAAAGAAAAGCATTATAAAAGGGCTCCGCTCATTTCAAGGTGCGTAAAGCAAGGAAGACGGGAGGCTGCAGATGAGGTCGCTGATTGTAGTCTAAATAATTTTCCTCACCAATCTGAATCATGATTTCCATCAGCAAGCAAGAAACCATGATTAAAACTGATGACTTTAATGTTGTTTTGCATTTTTACTTTTGAGTTATTTTCCCAGAGTGGCTCATTTTCATTGCTGATTTGCAACCAAATACAGCCTGTCTCCTGAATCCAGCACTTTTTTTGGTATATCCAACTGCACTAATTTAAGCAATTATGTAGCTTGACATACATTTATTCATATTTCTGATTTTCAGATTTTTACATCTGAAAATAGAGAATGACTGATGCCTTACTGAGCAGATGATAACTTTTTATCCACAAATCGTCTCATGTCTCATCTGGATGGAAACTGGATTTCAATTAAAAGGGAGCAAAAACAGCATTTTCATTTTTTTATTAGTTAATAAAGCTACTTTAAATGTGCCAAGTAAATGCAAAAAAGTCTATTAAAACACATTGTGCATTTAGAACTGTTTTATTAAGCAAAGGGAAGGGTTAATTGAAGTTTGTGAATTGTTGGACTGTTTCTGATCACCATGAGTTAGATTTTCAAAGAACTAAAACTAAGCAGTTGTGGCAGAAGCTTTTCTATCTAATAAAAAATAGAAGTATTGGCATCTGGAAAAAATGCCACAACTTGCAGTAGCTTTACTGTGAAGAGTGAAAATAATACACTTAACATAGTATAAAGCATTGTGATGCATTATAAAGCTAGTGCTGTCTTCAAAACTTTCTGATGTTCTCCTCTTCATTTATATACTTAAATAAACAGTGCAATCTGGGCAGGGCTTACTGCTGCAACGTATTTTCATTTATTAAAATGAGTTTAACAGATTACAGCAAGTTTAGGGCTTGCTACACGTTGTTAACATTTTAAACATGTTTAGAAAGAAACATGTATAATTTCATAGATTTCACAGGCGTTAGGGCTGGAAGGGACCTCACGAGATTATCAGGTCCAGCCCCCTGCCCAAGAGGCTGGAAGTCAGCTGGGGTCAGATCACCCCAGCAAGATAAGCATCCAAGCATTTCTTGAAGGTTTCCAGAGTAGGTGCTTGCACCACTTCTGGGGGGAGTCTATTCCAGACTCTGGAGACTCAGACGGTAAAGAAGTTTTTCCTTATGTCCAGTCTAAAACAGTCTTCCAGCAGTTTGTGATCATTAGACTTTGTCTTCCCTTGGGGTGCCCTGGTGAACACATGTTCTCCCAGATCCTGATGCATACCCCTGATATAAATATAGGCTGCCACCAAGTCCTCCCTGAGCCTCTGCTTCTCCAGGCTGGAGTCCCATGCCTCTCAGCCTCTCCTCGTAAGGCCTGATCTCTTGGTCTCTAATCATTCAACTGCAAATGAGCAAACCAGTTTAATGGTTTTTTTCCTAAATAACTGTTTTATCCTCTTTGGAAATAGATATTCTTCATTCCCCTTTATCCAAGTCATATATGGTTATATCTGTAAAACACAATTTGGGAAGAAAGTAAAGGACTCCCGCCCCTGCTAGGACTTAAGCCTAGAGGTTCCTGGCAAGAAGGTCTTGCTCTTCTGCTCTGTGTCAGCTCTGATTGCCATATTTAGGGTCCCAAAGGTATTTTACCCCATTATCAGATTGGAAAGGACCATGGGGGGGGTTGCAGCAGGGGGTGTGGCCTCTTCCTGGGATCTCTTGAGCATATTTTTAACAACTCTGCAGCAGTAAGACATTAGCCACTGTGGTCCCACTGCTTTACCTGTGGCAGGTTTGGGTGTTATGTCTTGTGTTGCGTCAGGGTGGGCTGTGTAGTTTTGCTTAGAGATTAGACACTGGATTTGTATGGGATGGTTTGAATAGGGATAATCCTGCCTTGGGCAGGGTGCTGGACTAGATGACCTCTCAAGGGCCCTTCCAGCCTGACTTCTTATGAAGGAAAAGAAACAAGTGATGAATTAAATGTGAGGGAGTAGTAAAAGCCAAGAGGCCGTTCAGAAGTAGCTGGTATCACCTCCACAAAGCCTTGCAACCTGCCTATTCACTGCTGGGAATTGTTTTCATACTTCCATGCCCACAGACGCAGACATAGGAAAAATGAAATGGTTTAGGCCTGAGGTAAAAAACCTTGCCCGGTGCACTGAACAGGTGATTTGCTTTACCATACTCTATGGCACACAGCAGTGAATTGCTTCCACTATTTACACCAAAAGAAAGCTGGGGAGCATCACTGAATTCACCCCTGAAATAAAAAGTGACCTCCAGAGGTTTCACCCAGAGCCCTTATGCCAGGGAAGAATTCAGTCCAGTGGCAGAACACACGAGCATGCAGGGCAGAGGAGATCAAAGGTCTGGATGGGAACTAAACACGTTACCATTGTGCACAAAGGTTAGCCGCCTTTCTTCTCTGGTCTCTAGATTAGATATCCAAATGTCATTGCTATGAATAAACGCAATCCAGTTTGGATCAGCAGGGCACAGCTTGGGATCCATTCGGATGTTTGGACAACTGGTCTCCACCAAACTGGGCCTTAGAGGCTGTTGCTGTACAAAAGAAGAGAAGAAAACTTAGATTGTGATTAACAAAGTGCTTGTCTGGCTATGTGACTACACCCATCTCTGAAACGATCGCCTGGAAGGCCTATCTCCATCCAGCAGCCACTGCTGGCTTCAAATGCCTGAATAAAATGCTTGTAAGGAAACCAGGGCAGCTGATGGGCCTGTTCAGTGTTTCCACAGATGCTTGCTGACACCCTTGGATACAGACACCTTTCCCCCACACTAACAGAGACAGCCAGCAAGCTAGAAGCCACCTTGTTCAGAACCGCTCAGGGCAGCATAAGAAGCTACTCCCTAAGAATGAACCAGCCCCAGCAGGCAGTTGCCTTGCCCTGCAAAGCCACTGGGAACGCAGCAGCATCCACCCAATAATGTGAGCAGATGGGCTTCAGGCATTAGGGACAGCAAAAGGAAATGACTTCTGCTCTCAACTCATAGCCTGGCCCCTGCACTGACGGGCTGCTATTTCACAGACCTCTCTTCTCCATTACACAGCCAAGCCTCACACCTAGGAACAAGTCATTTCCCTGAAAGCCAGATGTAGGGGCTGCTGCCCACATTCCTCTTTCCTCTTCCCACACCTGCTCTCTGCCACTGGCAGTCCCACAAATTTCCTGCTTTATGCAACACCCCCATCCCCATCTTGAGAAAGCATTTTGGTGCCATTATCACGGCATCCGTAACGGGCTCCTCCCCACTTGGACTCCAACACATAGCTCTTCCGCTACCAAACTCCTGGCAGGGGAAAGCACGCAATACATTTAAGCAGGGTAAGGGAAAACCAGCCAGTGTGTGAACTCACAGTGAATCCATGAGGGCCTCCATCTTTGACGTGGTAAATCCCACTACCCGCCTGAAACAGGAACGTGCCACTTCCCCGGTGGTAGTCATAAGAGGCAATACCAATGGTGCCAATGCGTTTTCTCTCGCGCAGCAGTTCCTCCTCGCGGGAGTACATCCCATAGTCGAGGCTGGCCTGGAAAAGAACCGCAGAGCAATATCACCACTTGCTCTGCCTTTTCCTGCACCTTCAGGAGCAGGCAGGCAGCATCTCCGCAGGCTCCATCTCTGCTGGCCTGTGGTCAGATGGCAACTTGGCCAATCTGGCAAAGAAGAAATGAGCTGTTCCACTGCGAATCCCACTAGCTGCAAGCTGTTCTCTTTCTTTCATATTAGCAATTTTGGGCCTGATTCAGATTTCACGCCTGTCTAACACCAGTTGCAATTCCAACAGAAAAGGAATTATTCCTGATCTACACTGGTACAAGACCAACATAAGACCCTGTCTGAGCAGCTGTGCTGCTGATGCTTATAGAAGTAAATGTAGTGCACAGCGGGTGCATCTACATGTTCAATTAATGCAACGCAAACTCTGGAGCTGTTCAAACCAGAGTCAGTTGCTCCAGGGTACAGCGTCTACACATTCACCTGGGACAGCAGCAATTTGAGTCAGGCTGGAGCAGGCCCCCAGCTGGCTGGGCTGACCGAGCACAACGTACACTTGCAGTCAGTATCTACACGTGTTTTGGCGCAGTAAAGTACTCTGCCGTAAGACAATACTGTCCCTGACAATACCACCCTATGGCAGAATTAATTAGTTTAATGCGCCCTAACACCAGCGCACATGTAGACTGTGATGCTTTACTGCAGAGTTAATTAGTCTACTCCACAGTAAAGTGCACGTGTAGATGCACCCAGCATCTCACAGAGTGGGAAGAAAAGTGTTATTTGTTTTTGCTTCAATACGGTCTCCTTGTAGTGCATAGGCATTTCATTTAAGCCATACCATGCCCTTGTAGACTCCCTCCAGGGCCAGAAGAGCAGATTCAGGCTATTTGTCTCACGAGTTACACACATTTCCTACCAAGCTGGGGAACAGGAAAAGGGAGGATACTCCTTTTTGTTTGCCTTAGAGCTGATTTCTCAGAGAAGCCAAATATGACCTCAGACTGCTCGACATGCTTAGAGCTTCAGGAGAACGCTGCACTGGAATAACCTGAATCAACTTTTAAATACACACAGTTAAAACAGGGGCAAAAAGCGGGGCAGACACACCAACCAACACAGAGATCAGCTAACTTTGGCTTTCTTAAATTGCCTCTAATGGATTTAAGCTAAAACAAAATATGCTGCTCTTGGATAGACACAGGAGCGTCCATGCAGGCTCTTGCCCCAAATTAACCATGTCTATTTGAATTCAAATTTTAAGCTACACCAGGGCAAATCTCCCAAGAAAATGGAGCTAAATCAGGGGACGCTTCCATGTAAATGCACTCACGATGTAAATCAGTGATGCTGCCTTGGCATGCGCCCAGAAAGTTTACAGCAGCAAGCTCAACTGGCTTCAAATGAATTTAAATGGATTGAAAATGCAAAAGTGTTCTAAAATGAATCCAGTTTAAAAATCACACCTTGGTTAAATCAAGGTCGCATACCTGTATGCGACCCAAGCACAACAGAGGGGGAAAGGAAAATTCCTGGGAAAACCCAGGGAGCTGCAAGTTGGCAAAAGAGCCTGGGCAGAAAAGTTGTTATAAGGCAACATCATTTGCTCACCTTCCTTTCCAGAGGCTGTTACCTGCTGTGACAGGGCAAGGTGGTGTACTGAGCAGACCATGCTGACCAATGCTGTCCCATTGTTTCCCCAATGATGCATCTGCATCTACTTATTCCCCCTGTCTTATAACAGAGGCAGGAATGGTCTCTTTGTATAGAGCCCAACACGTGCCTAGGGTTCTAGCATTACAACAGCAACGATTACAGTAGCAACAGGAAGAGAGCAGGTGTTTGCTTTCAGCCTACCACTAAAGGGTGCTGTTAAGCTGGTTGGACAGGGCAGGTACACACAGCTTGTAAGAGAACGATTATAAGTAGGCATGGCAGAATTTGATTTTTTAAAAAATAATTTCGATGGCTAAAAATCAAAGTTTATTTTTAAACATTTATTATTTTTATCAATTTAAATTTTCAGGATCGCACAAAATTAGGGGTGTGGTAGCATGCACACACACACATACACACATGCTTACAAACATGCCCACTTCCTCCTCCAGCCCAACACACATGGGGGAAGTTGCTGTGCTGCTGAGCTGTCAGACTGCTGTCCAGCCCATGCTCAGGCACCACCAAGTCAGCACCCGCTTTCCTTTGTCCTGCAGCAGTCACTGCCCCCTGGCCCCACAACCCCCCCAGCAAGGAAACCTCCGGGAAGGCCCTGCTCTTATGTCCCCTTCCTATAAATTTTGATTATCAGCGATGGAAAAATTGTTTCAGTGGTCTGTGAGTGTAAGGTGAAATCACTGTTTACCAATAAAAATTAAATCCTGCCAAGCCTAATCATAAGACAGACAGCCTGTTCTGAAAAAAGAATTACAAAACTGTGCAGAGGCCAAAGAGGAAAAAGACAGACCTTTAGCTCATTCCAGCCAACAGCCACGGTGATCAGTCTAGATGGATGAAAGCACAAGGGGAATTTCAAACAGGACTTACAGTCTCCTAAGATGACACCAGGTTGTTCACCCCAGACCTAGGTCTTAAGGGACAAAGCCTGCCATTCCATACCTTGCAGCCCTACCTAGGTCTGTTGTGCAGCAAGGACAGCTGATGGGGAGCCCGTGGCCACTGTAGACCCTCTGAGTACTGCTCTAGGGTGTATAAATATGCCTCCATTGATCAGTTAGTCCTTCCAAAGCAAAGTGGTCATGGTGAGCTGCAGCTATGGAGCAGATGGCAAAGGAGGATTTGCAAGGAAAGCAAATGCAGAAATACCTCAAACGGAGCTTAAAGACAGATGTCAAACAAGCTCAAGAGATATGAGACTCTTGCTTAAGTCCCTTGCTTATCCCTCTGCAGTGGTCTCCAACCTTTAAGTAGGAGATCACCTTTGGCATTTAAAAGCAACCCAAGATCTACTGTGCACCACTGACATCCCCCCCGCCCAGCAGGTAAGTCTGTGGGAGGGAAAGGGGGAGGCAGAGGGAGAAAAAATTATTTGGGGGCATGCCTCCCCAGCAGGTAAGTCCCACCAAGCCAGGGCCACACTCAACTTGCCCCTGCTCCTGCCTCTGCAGCACTGTACCCTCACCACGGGGGCCTTGATCTAGCCCTTGCCCCTTCCCTCCCCCATGGACTGATCTGCTGGGCTGGGGCATATGCATGCATGCATTCAGGCACTCAGCCCCCGCACTCCAGCCTCGGATCAACTCCAAGATCTATCACAAGAGGCTCCAAGATCTACCCCTGGTGATTACTGTCCTACTGCAAAGAAACACCTAGAAACAGTGGGAGTCTACTACAGACCTCCCACCCAAAGTCAAGAGCTTGACCAGGAGTTCACCCGGGAACTGGCTGAGGCAGCATGCTCCAGGACCATGGTTGTCATGGGTGACTTCAACTACCCAGATATCTCGTGGGAGGATCACTCAGCAAAAACCGAGTGGTCACAAAGTTTCCTGTCTGAGTGGATGACCTCTACCTGATGCAAGAAGTCTACCTCTCGTTGGCCCGTAAATTGCTGCTCGACCTGGTACTGGCTACTGGGGATGACCTAATCAGTGACCTAGTGATCTATGGAAAGCTGGGTGACAGCGACCACAAGCTGATCACCTTCACCATCCGCCGTAAAGCTGGCAAGTCAGTCAGCAACACAGAAGTCCTTGACTTCAGGAAAGCCGACTTTGACAAGCTCAGGAGGATTGTCAGTGAGGCCCTAAGGGACCACAACCCCAGGGGGAAGGGAGTTCAGGAAGAGTAGTTGCTCCTCAAGTGAGCAATCCTCAATGCACAAGCTAATTCTATTCCATCTCGAAGGAAAAGCAGCAAGAGGGCACAGCAGGCCCCCTGGCTCTCCAGGGATCTAGCAGATCTCCTGAGGCTAAAAAGAAAGGCCTACAAAGGATGGAGGATGGGATTCACCTCCCAGGAGGAATATTCTGCACTGGTCTGGTCCTGCAGGGAGCAAACCAGGACAGCCAAGGCTGCAACTGAACTCCAACTAGCTTTGAGTATCAGGGACAATAAAAAGTCCTTTTTTACATATGTGGGGAGCCAGAGGAAAAGCAAAGGCAACACTGGACCCCTGCTAAACTAGATGGGACAACTGAAAACCGACGCCCAGGAAAAAGCCAACCTATTAAATGGGTACTTTGCGTCAGTCTTTCATCAGTCCCATGGATGCCCATGCCCACTACGGGACACGGAGGTCTGGGTGAGGGAGATCCCCTGCCCTCCAAAGTGCTGAGGATGGATACCTTCAAGTCAGCCGGTCCTGACAACTGACACCTCAGGGTACTCAAGGAGCTGGCAAGCATCAAAGCCCAGCCCCTGGCACGGATCTTCGAGAACTCCTGGCGCTCTGGTGTAGTGCCCGAAGACTGGAAGAAGGCCAATGTGGTGCCTATCTTCAAGAAAGGGAGGAAAGTGGATCTAGCAAACTGCAGGCCCATCAGCCTGACCTCTATCCCAGGGAAGGTCTTAGAAAAGTTTATTAAAAAGGCCATCCTTAACGGACTGGCCGACACCAACATGAGGAGGGATAGCCAGCACGGGTTTGTTGCGGGTAGGTCTTGCTTGACCAATCTCATTTTCTTCTACAACCAGGTGACCTATCACCTGGACAAGGGAGAGGAGTTTGATGTCATATATCTTGACTTCAAAAAAGCCTTCGATCTGGTATCCCATGATCACCTCTTGGCAAAACTGGCCAATTGTGGCCTTGGGTCCACCACGATCCGCTGGCTGGGAAATTGGCTCCGTGGTCGGACCCAGAGGGTGGTGGTTGATGGAAGTCAATTGTTATGGTGGGCTGTGACCAGTGGGGTCCCTTAAGGCTCTGTTCTTGGGCCCACACTATTCAACATCTTCATTAATGATGTGGACATTGCTATCAGATGTGGACTGGCCAAGTTTGCTGACGACACCAAAAGAAAGAGACTTGGGGGTCATGATTGACCACAAGATGAACATGAGCCTGCAATGTGATGCTGCGGCTAGTAAAGTGACCAAAATGCTGGCTTGCATCCATAGATGCTTCTCAAGCAAATCCCGGGACGTCATTCTCCCCTTGTACTCGGCCTTGGTGAGGCCGCAGCTGGAGTACTGTGTCCAGTTTTGGGCCCCACAATTCAAAAAGGATGTGGAGAAGCTTGAGATAGTGCAGAGAAGAGCCACGCGCATGATCAGAGGTCAGGAAAACAGACCTTACGACGACAGGCTGAGAACCATGAGACTCTTTAGCCTGGAAAAGCGCAGGCTCAGGGGTGATCTGGTGGCCACCTATAAGTTTATTGCGGTGTTCACCAGGATCTGGGGGAACGATTGTTCACCAGAGCGCCCCAAGGGATGACAAGGTCGAACGGTTATAAATTACTGCAAGACCGTTTCAGGCTGGACATAAGGAAGAATTTCTTTAATGTCTGAGCCCCCAAGGCCTGGAATAGCCTGCCATCGGAGGTAGTTCAATCACCTACGTTGAACACCTTCAAGAGAAAACTGGATGCTTATCTTGCTGGGATCCTATGACTCCAGCTGACTTCCTGCCCTTCGGGCAGCGAGCTGGACTCGATGATCTTCCGAGGTCCCTTCCAGCCCTAATGTCTATAAAATCTATGAAACTACATTCACCAATTGCAATAGCTGAAGGCCGGGTAGAAACCACCCAGCACAGAGATCTCACAGCAGGTAATGTTTCCTTGTTTAGCAGGAAAAAAATTGATCTAAACAAGAAAGGCACTCAAAATGTTCAAGTTCATGCTGCCACTGCTGAGCCTGTTGATGGCTCATGACTGCAGTGAGCACGTACACAGTGAATGCGCAACCAACCTCCACAAAGCAGTAAGGAAATAAGCACTTACTTGAAAGAGATCCAGAAGGGGTTTCCAGGAAAGCATTAGCACCGCAGCCTTGTTTATGGTTTTGGGAATTTCTGAATAGAACAGTGTGTTCTCTCTGTTCTCCCCAGACATTGCTAGAGAGAGGGAAAAAAGATTCATGTCCCCATTACTGAACATTAAGCAATCTCAGCAGATGACAAAGCAACCAAAAGACACAACAGTGTCACCAAAAATCACCTTCCATAAGAGGAACAAGTGGCAGTTTCTGCACTGGCATGCCACTCAGAGAGGGCAGGGGAGTGCCCTGCTCCACTAGACTGCAAGAAGGGAAGTGACAGAGGGAGCAGCTGTAGATGGAGGTATGCCACTGCTACAACATTTAAATTCTCTGGAAGGTATAAAATCAGGCAAGGCTTCTTGATCATTACTCCAAGTCTCTTGCTTGATTGCAACATCATGCTCTCTGTATCAGTGAAGGGAGTCCCAAGGAGGATGAAGCCTCTCCTCTCCCACCCCACCCCGCAGGCAGTTTGAGAATAGAGTACATTTTTCATATTCCACATTTAATAAGACTTGGGCCTGAGGTCTGGCCCCTGGTGAAGTTAATGAGTGTGTGGCCACAGATTACCAGACTGGACTATTTAGGGATCCTTTCTAGAATCCACCCAGCTACACTTGAACTTTTTACCCCCTACCTAGCCCTTGAAGCTCCTCCACATAAAACACAAGGGGATATTTCTATCTTGTAGTTTGTTCACGCTGTGCCTAGTCAGTTCCTCCTTTTCTACAAGCCTGGAAATTTTCCTGTTAGAGGCATAGAGTAACCAAATTGCAACAGAGGAATGGATTTTTCATTCAGCCACAGCAGAAGGGGAGGAAAAAACTAACCATATGAAAATGTGGCTGTAAAACCTCAAAAAAGTGGTAGGGTGAAGGGGTAGAAATAGAGCTTATAACCAATTCCAAAGCAGTTTGAGACATGGCTGACATTTCAGGTTCACAGCTTACTAATTTGGAGGGGGCTGCAAAGACTAGCTTCCGGTTCTCTGCTCCAGATCTCACCTCCTCCCAGAGGCTAGATTTTTTGTGTGTTTGTGTTTAAACAGTACAGCTTTTGAACAGAAGCATTTGGAGCCTTGCTCAGAAAAGCCACCCGAGATCCCCTGTGGTGCATTTTACACTACAAAAATCACCTAGAAGGGCTCGATTATACACAATATCCATTCAGAAATCTAGAGCGACGGAGCCTAAGTGACCAGCAGGACTGAGACCAAAGACCAGCAGGAAGGAGACAAAAGTGAAGAGGAGCAGCCAAGAAAGACAAAGTAAATCTGTGAATTTGCTACTGAAATAAAGGCACCTGCAGGAAATGTTCATGTGTGCCCCCAAGCACACCCTGCAAATTACCTATAATTGCTGAAGGCTTGGAATATTACATTTCTAATATCCCTGTTCAGGAGGACAGCAAAATAACCCCAGCTGTACCAGGTTTGGGGAACACCACTTATTTTCAACAGAATCCAAGCACAAGGATGAGAAAAGCTGGCCCAAGAAGAGGCCTCCAGGACTTTATCCTCCGACATAGGGTGGGGCTGCTGTTGAAAGAACACTTCCTCATTCTCTGTCCAGCTCTCCAAGCCTGGAGCATTAACGTTTCCAGCCCTGTCCACCCACTCCTTGGGGAGATTATGTCACTGGTTTTACAGTTGGAAAGTACTGTTATTACCTAGTCTGACCAGTAATTCTGGCAGCCAGCCAGTCCTGGTTTCACTACCGAACACAAACCTAGGGGCTGGGCACATGAACAAGTTACCATGAGGTAAAAGAGGGCCAGGATTTGTCACCGGTCAGCTGCTCTGCATTAACTGCTTACATGCATGCTCTTAACTCTGCAGTAAATGAGTGCTAACCTGAAACAGTTTAGCCTTCAATGAAAGGTGGCAAAGGGGCTTTCACTGAGACCTAAACTACCCTGGGTTATCTTCAATCTACCATGGGGCAAGAGTGTACACGCAGGCCATTACCAGAGTAGCAGCAAGTGCTGTCCCCTTTTAAGCACACAGCAACTAGTTTGTAAGTCCCTGCAGCGGACAAGTTAATAGAAGCATGAGTCCCACTAGCCAGCTTACCTAGATAGTAGATCCTGTGTGAATGGGGCCCTTCAGGGTCATTTTTCTTCACAAACATGAAGTCGTGAGGTGCCTTAGCCATCATGTAACCGTGGTATTTCCTCGTGTCCGTGAGCAGCTTTTTAAGCTGGCTCCAGGAATACCTCTCAACATAGAAGGGCTCCAGCCTGGGCGACTCCTCCTTCTCCACATGCTCCTCACACCCCGCCACCGTCTCAAAGATTTCAAGGCCCAGCTGTTCAGTTTCCATGGCTGCTGCCATGTTGCATGTTTCTGGAAGAATAAAAGACAAGGGACACGTCAGGGCTGTCTTTGAGAGGCCTAACATATACCTGCTTTGAACAGATTAGTACAACGACAGACAGGAGAGGAATACAACTACTTCTATACACATTTGGTGGGGGGGGGTGGGGAGGGGTCTGTATTTGTATGTTGGAAATACCTTGTCATCCTCAGACAGAAATGTTTAAGAGTAGGATGGGACACTGGAATTGAAATCTTTGCTGGTTCAAGTAAGAGGAACGCAGTCCAAGATCTACTTTTTTACAATAGCTGCTCATCCTCCTCTGACTGGACTCAATAGGAAATGGATCGCACAGCTTCTCTTTGTTAAGTCCTGCACTACTGCCTTCCTCTGACAATACCCTGCCCATACCAATATCTCAAACCTCATTCCCAGCAGACTCTCTCCCCTTGCCTGCACTTAGTTGGCATGAGGAGAAGGCGGGCCAAAACTGACAGCTGTCAGCGTGGAAACCGTCTGCTTTTCAGGCCCTCCCCTGCAGCAGGAGCCACAAGAGAGACTGAACTGGCTTTCAGGCGACTCCACCTGCCCTGCACACTGCGACCAGAAATGTCAGCCCAGCATCGACACAAAACACCCGGATCCTTCCTTTTACGCTGCCGCTCCGCCAGCCGTGGGCTTGCACCCCACGGGGATGCAAAGCCAAGATCGACAGTAGCTCCGGTGCTGCCAAATACCAGGGCGGCAGCCAAGTCGGTCACAGGTGAACCGGTTCACATCTGCCGGAAAGCAAGCGGCTCCAATTCAAGCAGGGCCGGATGAAAGACTGCGTTTCCATCCCCTTTCCAAGCGCACGGCTGCCCAGAGAGAGAGCAGCATCTCCTCCTGGGTCCCAGCCGCTCGCATGGCACAACTGGGGCAGCGGGACGGGAGAGCACCGCGCATCGCAATCCAGACGCAGAGAAAAGGGTGCGCCCAGGGGAGCACCGGGCTCGCAGCACGACGCCAAAATGCTTGCTGGCGCCAGCAGCCTCGGGCACTGACAGCGAACCCTCCCGGATTAACGCGAGCCCAGGAGCGGGCACCTAGCGCCGCGGAGCCTTGGGCCTGCGCCACCTCGCCCTCCGCTGGGGCCCAGCACACACCTGGGGCAAGGGCGTGGGGGGCAGGGAAATGTCTGTGTGCACGTGTGTCCGTGCACATACGTGTGTGCACAGGCACCGGCACATATGTGCACGCCTGTGCATGCGATGCAGCCTGTGCCCGTACGTGTGCGTGTCCGGGAGGGGTGGGGCGGGGGCACGTCCGTGCCCACAGGGGCCGAGCCCGTGGCGGGCGCCGTAGCAGGGC